AATGTATTTTCCATTTTGTTCGATGACCTTTTGTCATGTTATTTCTGAGAATGTTATTTCTAAGCTAATGCTATTTGCCATGCTATTTCTAAGAATAACAATATTGTAAGAAACGTGGAAATTGCAGAAACTTTGCGAATTGGAATGCCACGTTCTATTCACTGCTTCCCATTTTTCAAATTTGTCTCGTGATATTGTCTCTTCTCTAGATTCATGATATTTTATAATATACATACATTATAAAAAGTGTATTCTATTGGATTGGCAACTAAGTAATCGCCGATTTGTTCGATGAAATAAAAAATTTATTTTCACTTGGAACGAAGTTTAATCTGTAATGTATTTTCCATTTTGTTCGATGACCTCTTGCCAGCTCTCCGACAACTTGAAAATTCCACGCTCGTAGAAAGTCTGATCCTTTTCGGCCAAAAACTGAGTTAAGTGAGATTTTACAGCGTCGTCGTCGTTAAAAGTTTTACCGCGAAGGGAGTTGTCCAGGGATCGAAATAAGTGGTGATCCGATGGCGCGAGATCAGAGCTCTATGGTGGGTGTAACATCGATTTCCAACCAATATCCATCAATTTTTGCCGAGTGGACAAAGACGTGTGCGGCCTAGCATTGTCCTGCTGGAAAATGACACCTTTACGATCGACCAATTCCGGTCGCTTTTCCTCGACCGCTGCATTCAATTTGTCCGGTTGCTAACGTTCACGGATAATAAAAAATAACATAATAATAATAATAATAATTTTATAATATAACATTTACGGATATCATAAAAATGGGAGTGAGAGACGTCTATAACCGAAATCGGCGATTACTTAGTTGCCAACCCAATATAATTTCGCATCACGTTCCCAAATTTCACAATAGACTCATAAAAATTACAATGGCTATTTCGGAGTTATTTACGCTGTTTTACTTTCACTCCTCGTTTACTTTCGATTCCGGCCGCCTGCCCGCGATGGTGTACGTGAGTGGGTTCGATTACCCTATCAGCGAGCTTACTTCGAATGTACATACACAGAAGAACGAAAGCAACGATATAGACGATGGAACAGTGGTAGTAGTATCGGACGTCGTTCAAATTAAAGGGAACAATACATCGTTCAACTACCCCACTCGCCGAGTGAGGGTGGAAGTAACGGCGTGTTGGTGGCTGACAGTACGCACGAGCACCGATTGTTAGTAGTAGGGACGTAACACGATGGTGGATCGGTGAAATGGCAGTGGTGGTGAACGATCGTGTCAGAGGGCAATGGATGAAGTTAGTCAGTCGGCGTTCGCTCGCGCCGCCACCGCGATGGAAGTTCATCCGTCGTGCCTTTGTTTCTGGAGTCCTCTCTGTTAATCGCGAACTAGTCGAGTAAGTATCAACCCCTAATTCATACGTCGAGTATAATCCCACCTCTGAACGACTGCTTATCAAGTAAACGGACCGAATCGAACAACCCTTCGACACCTTCTCGATTTACCTCGTTTTTTATGTTACACTTCAGCTTTTCGTCAGAGCTTTTCTTCGACTTTCGAAAAGTACATTTTTGTCACGCGACTGATTGGGGACGAATATCGAGATCGTGTCGGTCTTCGCGATCATCGGAATGCGGATCTTTATGCGAAACAAACATTGTCCGCGACTGTTGCATGAAACGAAAGTCACCTTAACAGTTTATTCTAGCGACAGTTTTTTTAATAGTTCTTTTCAAGTCGAAGATCAACGGATGACAATTTTTTCAAGTATTAATCAAAAGCGACGATATCTCCAACTATAATGCAACAGATCGTTTCGATTAATGTACAAACAACTTCAAGATTAACCTCTACATTAATTATGATGGATTATTTATTTAAGAAATAATGATTTAGCTTCTCTTAGTCGCATAACTCGGTCGTTGAAAAACCTATTGACAGGCTTTTGATAAATTCTACCTTTTTTTAATAATTTCAACAAGTTAGAATTGTTGTCATCGTAGACTTCGGTTATTTAAATGTTGCTAGTTTGAGATTGCTCCCGCTCGTTCTTGTCGTAAATGCATAAAATTCGCAGTCCGTTGATTGTTTCTAGAAGTTGGAGATTTGGTGGTATTTTTTCGTGGTATTTTTGATAGACGATATTGTTTCGCCAATCTTTTCAGTTCGCTTCGAACGTAGAAACGCGGGAAAGTGTACGGTCGTTTTGGCTATTCTCTTCGACGTTACGAATGATCGGCAGAAATAACATTGATATAGAATGTAGTCTTCGCGGGCCCATTTGAGAATCGGAATGTCAGGACCCGGAAAATCGGCGAGACCATTACGGCAATTGTCTTTGCAACCAACTGCGCCCCGCCGTCAGCAGATCAGGAGACAACGGTCCGCGGAGGATGAGAAATCTTTGCAGATCTGCGCCAGTCCACTTCCACGTGGGAAACATGGTTCCGGTAAACTTGGTTTCGAGAGGCCCAAGGTATGATTAATAATTCGACCGCGGATTTATGATAACATCGTAAACAATATTTTCCTATCTGTTATGAAAATGAAATCCTTCATATTATTTTTAATATTATTATAATATATATTTTTTATTATTATTATAATATATAATAATATAATATAATATTATATATTATTATAATATATAATAATATAATATATATATTAATATAATATAATATTTTTTATTATTATAATAACACTATTATAATCCAGGTTAATTACATTGTTTGATACACAATTTCTAGCGATGTCGTTTTATGTGTACGCCTCGAAAATTCTTGTATTATTTATATAATTTCCAGAAATACAATTAAACGATCCTTGTTACTCGACAATCATATTTAATTCTCGGTCGGCGGTGCTCGGGTCTATTTCGATCCAGAATATAAGTATTTTTATTTGACTATCTTCTGACTAGTGTTTAACAATTAATTAAAATTCTTGCATGTTCCATTAAGGTCTATAAAATAACTAATGTGCCTGTAAGGAATACTTTAATACCGGTGTACACAAAAATGTATACAACTTAGAACTAGCAAATATCAATTTCTGGATATAATTTAACAACAACTTTACAATTTTTCAAAGAATTGAATTTACCTTAAATTATGATGCATAACTCCCTCGATTACATGGGAAAAATAAGAGAAGAAGATACTTCTGCCACATCGTGGCTAAAAATTAAATTAGGATTAATGATATATAATTAATGAAAATGGTATATAATTAAATTATGATTAATACACATAAATACGTGACTTCCAAGATACGTTGACTGAGGTACATGTATAGGGCTACAAAATCAATAAAATTAGAAATGATTCTAAGCATTCTCAGTTATACTTTTGTCAAAAAGCGAAATATTTTAAGATATCTTTATAATTTTGTTCACTAAATGAAGTTTATGCAGAGTGACGGACAAATGTATTTGTACACTTGATACATCGAATTACATGTATTTATTTATATGTCATTATATGTTTTACATAAACATAAACAATAATGAATGTATGCAGTCGCATCGCTATGTATGGCATTGCTTTCTAACTTGTAATCAAATGAAATCTATACATCTTTACGTTTGTTCATAAACATAGAAGATACAATAATACCAAAACATTTTCAACTGCAGGAAAACATGTAACAAACGTGTTACGAAGTACTAACTGTAACATCAACATAATTAATATTAAGAATTAAGGATTGCACACGAACACTCTTGTCTTCAAAAATGATTAAAATCCTATAATTTTATTTTCTTACAGAGCATTAAGTTACAGAGCATTAATATTATAATATTATTATTACATTAATATTAACATTAAGTTACAAAGCAACGTTATTCATTTTTGTTTGCACATATTCGTTACTATATTTCTGTAAAACATATAACGACTTCTAAAAGAATACACACGTAATATTATTAAAAATATTACTGTCTTTATTTCGATGTACTAGGTGTACGAATAGTTTTATCCGTCACTGTATTTGCAATTCGAAGTAACATCGTACCGAGCACTGCGCGTACGGTGCCAACATAAAAATCTACAGCCTAATCGTCTCGTAAAACTTCGATTTATGCTCAATTTATGCGCAATTTATTGTTCAGGTGCGCGTTGCCTGGAGCGAAAATCACCGGAAGAATGAGAAAGAGCTCGAACAAGTGGAAGTGGTGGCTCGTCAGATCCCTGGACGAACCAGACCAGGGACCGGAAAATCGAGGGGCTACATCGGCATCGAGAAGCCGCCAATCCTTTGCTCCAGACAGGAATTAGCCGAAAGATTAAGGCTAGCTTGGAAGCATCGCGAGGAGAACAAAACGAACATCAACATTTTCTTGGCTCATGGCACCGTGGAGGACAGATGCGACTCGGAGATGTCCAGTCACGCGTCCGTTACCACCCCATCATCATCATCATCAGCATTGAGAGGAAGTAATACTGACGAAACGAGAATACTTTCCGACAACAGTACCATCATGCGAAATAAACAGACTCGGCGATTAGAAGCTCGGACAAGCTGCGATGACATCTTGAGAAAAGAAGACGAGAATGCGATGGTCAAATCGGACACGGTTGCGATCAAAGATAGCGATGCGTCGGTGAATAAAGGCGAAGAAGAGTCTTCGAATTTTATGAATTATCATCAAGAGATGCAGAAGATTGCGGTTGGAGAAGATTCGGAAGTTTCGGAAATTGCGAAGACGGAAACGTCAGGGGAGAGTGATGCGAGGGGAAGACAGGAGGATGTAAGTAAACGAATATAATTCAGTATTCTCTCGATAACTGTTCAAAATATCTCCACGATAACTGTCGAGAATATCTTCATGATAATTGTGATGCTTGGAGTGCGAGACTCGTACTAATGCGAGCGAAAAAAACTATAGTAACTTTTTTCATTTTTGTTTTCTTTTTTGTGAGACTCTTATCATCGTATTCGTCTGGTTTCCCTGATTAGGCTCTGACTCTAAACACGATACAATTATGATTATAGTTACTTGTGTAACGCGCGGTTAAAGTTTCAGACTTTAATTCATATTACTCTTTTATGCAAAATAGAAATTGTCCATATTCGTTGCAAGAATTTATTGTATTTTATTGTAGAACTTTGATAATTATAGTAAGCTGCAAGTAATATATCGATATTTTTCGATTTTTCCAGTGTGTCTCCTCTATATGTGGAATTAGAAAATAAAAAATATAATAACTTGGGATATTTCAACAATGAGACGATTCAAAAGAAAAATACTAATATTCAAATGATGTAATGCGATGACCGAAAGTTAAATGAAAATCAATCTTTTAGTCTTCACAGTTTTATATTTCAGCCGTTTTTTTATATTTTTATTTTTATTTATTATTATAATATATATATTAATATATAATAATAATATATAATATATATTATGTAATAATTAATATCTATTAATATAATATACATATTATTATTATAATATATTATATAATATATTATTATTTATATTTTTGCCGTAAATGCATAAAAACCGTAGTCTAATGATAACAGTT